GCTTATAATATGCGATTCACTGTCTTCATGAGATTGCATTCTGATTTTTGATGGTTAAATGTGACTTCTACTTGATTTTGGAGCGCTGTAAGAGTTAAGGGGAATAGGCTTCACATATCACAAAGAGATTTTGAACATTTCTCCAAGCTTAATCCTTCTCTGTTTCAACAAATTATCCGTCTCCATACTAAGGAGTAAAAGCAAAGGGCCGTTTGATTTTTCTGTGATTTTCGATGGATATGTTTTTGCTACCTAAGTGCTAAAACACAAAGTGTTAGCAGTAAAAATTACAGGAAAAGAACAGGAGAGCTATCGCGTACTCGCTAAAAATGTAGAACAAAAGTGATAAAAATACCTATTCGCTCAAAGAGGTATGATTGACGACAAAAAAATCTTTGAATGGAAAGAGCACACCGATTGACAGTTGGGAATAATAGACAGCTCATTATTGCACTCCCATATCTTGTGGAGGTGGTGGAGGTCAAAGAAACATACAGGACAATCAGTAAATTAGAGACGATACGGTGGCATTATGATATAAGTTAACTGATTGATTCCTGTCGTATTAAAGAGAATTTCAGCCAATGTATCATTCATTAAAAAAAATATATATATATCATATCATGCTTATAAATGTCGCTTTTATCTAGAGTATTCTGTATTTGCAGTATCACCACGTAACGATAAGTTCGATATTTTTGGCCTATCCGCCCAGGAGGCTCGTGAAAGACTACGCCAGAATAAGAAGAACATACATCGTGGATTTGATATGTCCTTGGAAGAGAAGTACAGGCTTGTCAGCAACATGTAATTGCTGAAAACGAGGTGTTTTGCTTAGAGTGTTTCTGAAATAACTGTGATCCATGCCCCGCTTGTTTTACGTCCTTTAATTAGCTTTTTTAATCCTAAGTCAATTTGAAACGATCATGTGTTTTCTACGAACTGGCGTCCATTCAGATGCCCTCACATAGTTGATTCGTTCATTTTTTTACTAAACTGTTTGTAACCTATAGAGTTTTATTTGTTTGTCATCTTAACATCACATCTGTTTTACGTATCGATTTTAATTGAAATGCTTGTGTGATTCGCCTACAATTATTGAACACACACACATATCTACATGTCGTATGTACCTACACATGTCACTTAAAAGCGTACTATTTTCTTTGTCCCCTAAATTTAGCCTCACTCAAGTCTCAGTTTCCAAAACAGTGTCGCCTACTGCTGCGCGACTAGCGCCAGTGCGTCACTGTTCGATTGCGGATCACACGTGTGCCAGCCAATTGCCTTCAGTGTTCGTACGTTCGTCGTTTGCTTAAGTAGCTCGTTCTAGTCGAAGTTCTTGATTGCTCTCTTTTTTTTT